TTTTTAAAATATATTATACTTCTCAATGTGTCTGTTGCTAGTCTTTAAAAATACAATTAATTTTTGTACATTGACCTTTTACCCTGCAATCTTGCTAAATTCATGTATTAGTTCTTTTAAAAAATATATATTGTCATTGATCTCAGAGAGGAAAGGAGAGGGAGAGAGAGAGAAACATCAGTGATGAAAGAGAACCACTGATCGGCCGCCCCACCGAGTCCGCACCCGGGGCCTGTGCCCTGACCGGGAATCGAACCGTGGCCTCCTGGCCCATAGGTTGACGCTCAGTGGCTGAGCCACGCTGGCCGGGCTCATGGATTAGTTCTAACGGTTGTCTTATAAATTCCGTGGGATTTTCCGTGATATTGTCCTCACGGAGGAACAGTTTACTTCTTCTCCTTTTCCTGCCTCGGGGAAGCAGCCGTCCTCGCCTTGCCCTGACCAGGGGGAGCCCCGTCTCTCCCGCGGACGGGGTGCTCACCGCAGGAGGCCTGGGGCTGCCTGTGGCGGCTGGAGGAGGCGCCCTCCCTCCTCGTGTGCCCACAGTCCTGGTCGCGGATGAGTGCTGGATTTGTGTTGGGGCTTTTTCTTTGCCGAGTCCTGTGTGTCTTTGTCACGGGCGCCTCTGGTTACTTCCTTAGGACGAACACCTAAGCCTTTGGCATCCTGTTTCCAAACGGCCGATCGGAGGAATCCGGCCAGGCCGGGTCCCCTCAGCGGGCAGCGCCTGCTACCCCAGACCCTCACCCGCCGAGATTTCATCATTTAAACCCCCTGCCCATCCCACGGGCTCCCCAGCGCGGCGTCTGCCTCGTTTCCGTTGATGTCATTCCTCTGGGCATGAGCACTTTATTGGTTATTTGCGTTTAGTCTCGATCTGTGTCACATACTCTTTTCATTTTTGCTTTTTTGAGATACTTTATGTTGTAGAGCAGTTTCAGGGTTCACAGCACAATTGAGCAGGAGGTGCAGAGAGTTCCCATGCACCCCTCCCCGCACCTGCACAACCCCCCCATCCCCGCCAATGAATGAACCTGCGTGGACACGTCACCGTCACCAGAGCCCGCAGTTGGCGTTAGGATCGCTCTGGCGCTTCACAGTCCATGAGAGAAAGGTATAACGACCTGGATCCCCCGTGCAGTACCCCCCCAGAGAGTTTCATGTCCGAGAAGTCCTCTGCCCCCTCCCACTCCACCCCTGGGCTCGGGCCTACTGCCCCCCCCCCCCAGCCTACCTTTTCCAGCCGTCACGCGCTGGGTCACGGAGCCCGCAGGCTTCTCGCCGGCTTCTCCCTCTGTCACGTGCGTTTCCGTTTCTCCCGCGTCTTCTCGTGGTCTGACAGCACTTTTCTTTTTGGCGCTGAATGTCTGCTCTCTGCACGTGCGGGTTGTTTACCCATCACCCGCTGAAGGGCGTCTTGTTGCTGCCAAGTTCTGGCACTTACGAGGCCCCTCAAAGGGGGGCATGTCTCCAGCCCCTCTCCCCAGCCCTCCCTCCCCCACTCCACAGCCCGCACGCCCTTCCCGAAACCGTGGCTGCGCGCCCCGTGGAGCAGGCCGGGCTCCAGACCCAGATCCTGGTCGGAGAAACCCCAGCTCGGCTGCTGTGGCCGGAGGACTGGTCTCTGGTGGCGAAGGAGCCAGGAGAGACAGCCCCCCCCCCCCCACACACACACACACCTCCCCGCAGCACCCGCCTCCAGGCAGACTTGCGTAAGCCCTGGCCAGCCCCTGGGGGGTGGGGGGGGAGTCATTTGCATGAATTAATTGTTCAGCAGACTCAGGTCTCGGGATGAGACACAAGAACAAATGTGTAAGTTTGGTTTTATTTGAAAATGTTCGCATCTGGCCTCAAGGTCTCTTTGACCTTGAGAAGCACAGCTGAGCTCTTTCGGAGGTGTCTTCCCCCTCCAGCTTTTTCTGGAAGCAGACGCTTCCCGTATGTGTCAGGATGTGCCTGTTGCTGTGTAACAAACGGCTCCTAATGTTGCCATGGAAACCCACGGCCTCTTGTTTACTCATGGTCCTCTTGGGCGGCTGGGCTGGGTCCGGCTGTTCATCCGGCTCCCTCAGGCTCCTGGGGCCGTCTGGGGGTGGGGGTGGGGGTGCAGGTCTGAGACGGCCTCTGTCCGGGCTTTGGGGGCTCTGGTGCTGACCGGCAGCTGGGCCTCTGTCCTCGTGGCCTCTTGACTCCAGGCTTCCTGAGGCCAGGGACTCCCGGAATGTCGCTCACACCAGCATCGTACCCAAGGCAACTGGCAGGGCCCGCCCACCTGCGGGCGGACAGCCGGGCAGCGCTCCGCAGGGTGAGTTGCAAGGACTGAGGCCGCGGCTGGCCTCCCGCTCGGTTCCTAGGAGAGGGCGTGCCTGCTCTGCGCTGCGGGGCGCTTTCTTTCGCCTCGGTTTGCATCCTGATGATCCCGAGAAAAGGACAGAAGCTGACAAGCGCGACCTTTCTCGGTGTAGCATCTCCTCGCTTCACCTGCAAAACGTTTTAACTCAGCGCACCGGGATTCATCGCCCACATAAACCATCCTTTCCCTTTACTGCACCACACGCAGTAATTGTATGAACGGCCCAGTTCTATGCAGCACACACGAGGATTCCCAAAACCAAGCTGCTCCGCGTGTGGGAAAACAGGAAACATTGAGCCGCCTATATTTCCTCTTTCCTGAGGTTTTTATGTCCTTACGGTTTTTTCCCCGTGACTTCAAGGTTCCCCGACATCCCCCCGTTCATCCCAGCACGAGTGCCGACGCCGCGCGCTCTGTGCCGCCTGTGCCGGGAGCTGGGCCTGCAGAGCTGCGGGGAAATGGTCCCGAACGCCGGGCACCGGTCTCGAGGGGACACAGATGTCGCCTGGCCGACCCGCCGCCTGCAGTCACCTGCGAGGACAGGCCCGAGGGCCCCAGGGTGCACCGCGGAGCCGCTGCCGCAGCCCCAGCACAGCGTCTCGAATCAATGCTCCGACCAGTGAAGTCATGCGGCTGATTTCCCCTGAGGAGCTGCGAAGGGCTCCGCCGGCTTCTGCTGCGGGAGGCGGGGGCCCTTCCGGCTCCTTCCCCACCGGGGCCCAGGCCTCCGGCCACAGCAGCCCGGCAGCGGCTCCACCCACTGTCCGCGTCTCGGCCCTGGGCTGGTTCTGGAAGCCCGGCCTGCCTGTGGGGCGGGCGGGCAGGTTTTGGAGGGGGTGCTGGGTGCTGGGTGCTGGGTGCTGGGTGCTGGGTGCTGGGTGCTGGGGGTGGGGAGGGGCTGGAGGTAATGCCCCTTGGTGGCCCCTGTCCGGCTGGGTTGGGAGGGAGCCCGGGATGGGCCTGTGGGGAGGTGGGCCGAGCGGGGCTTCTGGGGCCGCGGTGGCCTCGCTGCTCAGTGAGCGGCTAGGACGCCCATGGGGTGCCCGGCGGGGGCTGTCTGCAGCCCCCCAACCTGCCGTGTTCTGCAAAAATCGTCTCACTGTGCAGCTCGGCCAGGGTCCCCGTGGGGAGACAGGCTCCCTCAGCCTTTTGGGGGGCAGCTGACCTGCCGCCTCCCACCCAGCTGCCCACTTCCACCCGAGGCTGCTTCCCCCACAGCAGGTTCCCAGGACGGACGGACAGACGGACAGAGGGCAGACAATCCGTAGGCGCTGCGGCCTCAGCCAGGGTGCCCGGCTGAGGAGGGGTGCCGGCTGCGGAGGGGGTGCCGGCTGAGGAGGGGGTGCCGGCTGCGGAGGGGGTGCCGGCTGAGGAGGGGGTGCCGGCTGCGGAGGGGGTACCCAGCTGAGGAGGGGGTGCCGGCTGAGGAGGGGGTGCCGGCTGAGGAGGGGGTGCCGGCTGAGGAGGGGGTGCCCGGCTGAGGAGGGGGTGCCGGCTGAGGAGGGGTGCCGGCTGCGGAGGGGGTGCCGGCTGAGGAGGGGGTGCCGGCTGAGGAGGGGTGCCGGCTGCGGAGGGGGTGCCAGCTGAGGAGGAGTGCCGGCTGAGGAGGGGGTGTCTACTGAGGGGAGGTGCACAGATTGGTCACCTGACCGTGATGTTCTGGCTGAGGCAGAAGGCAGGATGCAGGGTCACAGCGGGGCCTTGCCCGGAGCCTGGGCCGGTCCACAGCCCACGCAGCCTCTTCTCTGATTGGGTGTTAATCCCGCGAGACCGCCTTTCGCCCGCGGTGTGGCTGAATCCGTGCAATAGAGCATTCTCCGTCCGGGGTTCTAAACGAATTCGTGAACTTCTTTGAAAGCGGAATCCGTGGGTTGTGCTGCTGCGCTTGCAGCTTAGAAGCAGGAAATTACGCTGGTGAGGACATGGGCTGCAAAGCGGGGTTCACATCCCAGCGCCCCCCCCCCTCCCCGCTGTGTGGCCTCAGAAAGGTTACTCAGCCTCTCTGGGCCGTGGTTCCTCTTCTGTGCAGTGGGGGTCCTGACGCTGCTCATTTCATAGGGTTATCGTGCGGCTGAGAACAGCCCCGAGAAGTGGTTAACCCGGGCCAGGCCGTGCTGAGTGTTTAACAAATGCTCACGGTTAGTATCAATAACAGTAACAACCCACATGTTTCCTAACTGGACCGATATTTGTTCAGGAAGAGAGGGAACCAGTCTGGACCCTAACAGAAGCCCATGCTGTCCAGAATGGTCCGGAAACTGCCTGCAGGACCTGGGCGCCCAGCTCGGGCCGTCATCCACACACAGTCCTGTCCTCACCCTCACTTTGCGAATGGGAAAGCAGAGGCTCAGAGAGGCGTGGTCACTTCCCCGAGGCCACACAGCCAGGGCTTTCGATACGACCTCATCGGTCATCTGAAGTGGACCGGAATTTGACCAGGAACATGCTTTCCCGTCCACGTGTAGATGTCATTGTGCGTGACTTGTGATGATTCCGTCATTCATCCCGGGGTGTGTCAGAGCCTGCTGTTTGCACGTGTGAGTGTCTAAGCGGGGAGCAGGTTTACATGGTCCCCCACGCCGTCCCGTCCTTCCCCGGGGCCACATGGACAGAGAGACGCGTGACCATCACACGCCCTGCTCCCCAGCTCCCCCCCCAGCGTGGACGCCGCCCTGCGCTTCCCCGACAGCGACGGCCTCCTGCAGACCCCGCGCTGGGACGAGCCGCAGCGGGCGCGGGCCCTGGAGCAGATCTGCGGCGTGTTCCGTGTGGACCTGGGACACATGCGCTCCCTGCGCCTCTTCTTCAGGTGAGCGCGGCTCGGGGGCAGCGCCCTGTGCGCGGAGCCCCTGCGGGCACTGTGGTCGCCAACAGGGGGACCCGCCACGGCCGCCCCCCGGGAAGTGGGTCGGGGTGGCTCCCACACTCATTCATCCGCCTTCGCCTTCAGGGGGCGGTGGCTGGTTGAGGGGCGGGGGACAAGCAGAACTGGTGGCTCAGGTGCCTGCCACCGCCCAGCAGCTCTGAGGATGGGCGGGCTTTCTGGAGGGGGCGCCCTTTCTTTGGTGATGGGCGGCCCATCCCTGGTAGCGTCCTGCCCAGTGGCCACATCGAGCCCTCCTGACCGGCAGGCGGCCCAGCCGAAGGTGGCGCCAACCAAAGACCAGCACTTAGAAGCAGCAGCCGGGCCCGGCCGCGTGGCTCAGTGGTTGAGCATCGCTCAGTGGTTGAGCATCGACCTATGAACCAGGAGGTCACGGTTCGATTCCCGCTCAGGGCACAGGCCAGGGTTGCAGTCTCGATCCCCAGTGTGGGGCGTGCAGGAGGCAGCTGATCCATGATTCTCTGTCATCATTGGTGTTTCTATCTCTCTCCCTTTCTGAAATCAATAAAAAATATATATGTTTTAAAAGGCAGCAGGCCTGTCCCCCGAGGGGGTCCCCAGACCCAGAGCCACATTCCAGCCTTTTATGGAAGCAGCCAAGGTCCGGCCTGATGGGTGGTGGCAATTTCCCGAGCGGAGGGGGGGGGGGGGTCCTCCCAGCATGCCCCGCGCCTGCTGGAGGGGCCCACGGAGGAGGCTCTCGCTGCCACCCACCTGTCTGAATCTGATCCACTACCAGCACCTGCCGCCTCCTCTCCGAGGGAAGGGACCCTCCTGCCTGGCGGCGAGGGGGGGACAAAGGCCTCTCGGGCAGGTCTCCGGGGAGCAGACGAGGCCAGGCCTAGTCCCTGCCTCCTGAGAGGGAGCCAGCTCTTTCGTGTCTTCGGCAAAGTGGGGGAGGGAGGGGGTGGCTTCTGCTGGACGCGCTCTGCCCCCCTCTGGGCCAGCAGCCAAGCTCCGCAGGGACTTCTGCCTCCTGCCCCAAGGTCAGCCACCGTGGCCTCTGATTGTCCTTGGGAATCACCGTGTTTACACATCCATCCCTCTCCCTCCACGCGCTCAGTGACGAGGCCTGCACCAGCGGCCAGCTGGTCGTCGCCAGCCGCGAGAGCCAGTACAAGGTCCTCCATTTCCACCACGGCGGCCTGGACAAGCTGGCGAGCGCGCTCCAGCAGTGGGAGCGCTGCGCTGGGACCCGCCTCCACGGCCAGGTAGGCGGCGGGGCCCAGGGCTCCACGCATCTCCTCCTGCGTGGCCTTATAAGCTGTGACCGTGGCTGGCCATGGCCTCGTGGGCTGTGACCGTGGCTGGCCATGGCCTCGTGGGCTGTGACCGTGGCTGAGTGTGGCCTCATGGACTCTGACTGTGGCTGGCTGTGGCCTCGTGGGCTGTGACCATGGCTGACCATGGCCTCCTGGGCTGTGGCTGTAGCCTCATGGGCTGTGGCTGTGGCCTCATGGGCTGTGACCGTGGCTGACCATGGCCTCATGGGCTGTGGCTGTGGCCTCGTGGTTGTGACCGTGGCTGACTGGCCTCGTGGGCTGTGCTCGGGGCTGACCGGGCAGTAACTCTGGGTTTGAAACGAGTGCCCAGGGCTCCTCGAAACGCCAGTCTCTCGCTAGAAGTCATGTTTTGACAAGGCTCCTGCCATATTTTGCTCCATGCACACACACATGTAATAAGCGCTCTGTAATGACCTGTTTAAGGAGCTGTACGTGCTTATTAGAAACGGCTGACTCTAGGCCCCTCCCTCCCCCAGCCTGAGCCTCCCCTGGCTTCCCTGGGACAGCCGTTCCACCCCCCCACACACATCGAACAGCCTTTGATTTCTGAATTAAATGTCAGCTGCAGTTTCGCCCCGGATCATGACTGCCCGTGGAGACGACCTGACAGGCAGGCTCCCCGAACAGCGCTCCCTTTGTATGTGGCCAATCATATGTAATTTACTGCAGGCCCTTCCGGCCGAGGCGGGCGAGCCGGGCCCAACGAGGCATTGATTCCATTTTGCTGCTGGGGTGGGAGGGAGAGTGGAGGGGGGAGCAGGCTGTGGGTGGGAGGGAGAGTGGAGGGGGGGCAGGCTGTGGGTGGGAGGGAGAGTGGGGGACAGGAGGCGAGACCCCGAGACCCGGGTGGGTGGGAGGAGAGTGGGGGGGCGGCGGGGCAGGCCGTGGGTGGGAGGGAGCCCAGGCCCAGGAAGCAGGGGCGATGAGGCTGTTTTCATTTGATCGCGTTGGGTTACAGTTGCCACCCAGGGGAGAGGGGCCGCCCCCCGGAGCACCGCTGCCTTCGGCCCGGGTGGGACATTCCCGCTTCCCTCCTGTCCAGCAGGTGGCCGACGAGAAGACGTGCATGAAGTTCTCCATCCGACGCCCCAAACTGCCCTCCTCCGAGACGCACCCCGAGGAGAGCACGTACCGCAGGCTGGACGTGGCCGCCTGGCTGCGGCACCTGAACGAGCGGGGCCAGCTGGAGGAGGAGTACAAGCTGCGCAAGGTGAGGGGCGGGGCCTGGGGGCGGGGCCAGGCCTGGGGGCGGGGTCTGAGTGGGCGGGGCCGCCTGGCTGCGGCACCTGAACGAGCGGGGCCAGGTGGAGGAGGAGCACAAGCTGCGCAAGGTGAGGGGCGGGGCCTCCGGGGCGGGGCCAGGCCTGGGGCGGGGTCTGAGTGGGCGGGGCCGCCTGGCTGCGGCACCTGAACGAGCGGGCCCGGTGGAGGAGGAGGAGGAGTACAAGCTGCGCAAGGTGAGGGGCGGGGCCTGGGGGCGGGGTCTGACCTGGGGGCGGGGTCTGAGTGGGCGGGGCCGCCTGGCTGCGGCACCTGAACGAGCGGGGCCAGGTGGAGGAGGAGTACAAGCTGCGCAAGGTGAGGGGCGGGGCCGCCGGGGGCGGGGCCAGACTGCGGGTGGGTTCTGAGTGGGCGGGACCACCACGTGGGGCGGGGTCTGGGTGGGCGGGGCCGCCCGGGTGGGGGCGGGGTCCGGTGCCCCGGCTTGCAGAGCGGGGAGCGCGCCCAGTTAGCAACCAAAGCCGCTTCCCTGGGGCTTGGGGGTCTCCGTCCCCCCCTGGAGGAGCCTGTGATGAGGCGCTGCACGTCCAAACTGGGGATTAGGCCGCGACATGAGAACCACACGGTCCTCGGAGCGCCACCCCGGGGGGCCATTGACATTGAAATGAGCCTGGCTCGGCCGCCTGGGAATGGAGGGCCCGCACTTTCCCGTCCAAACAAGTGCAAATCGCGGCCCCTGGATCCGGGCATCAGTTGTCAGGAGGCGCAGCCAAGCCACCAACACGCGAACCAACGGGGACCTGGGGGCGCGGTGGGCCGCCCCGCGTGGGCCCTGCCCCAACGCCGCCGCCTTCCGCAGGCCATCTTCTTCGGCGGCATCGACGTGTCCATCCGCGGGGAGGTGTGGCCCTTCCTGCTTCGCTACTACAGCCCCGAGTCCACGTCGGAGGAGAGGGAGGCGCTGCGGGCGCAGAAGCGCAAGGAGTACGCGGAGATTGAGCAGAGAAGGTACCCACGGGGGGCTGGGGTGGGGGCGACTGCAGAGGCCTGTGGGCTGCAGTCTGCGCGGGTGGGGTGCTCTCTCCCGGACCCCGAGTGCCTCATGACCCCAGGCCCCTTCAGCTCACATGTCAGAGTTTCAGAATTCTTTTTTTTAATTAATTGTTTATTGATTTCAGAGAGGAAGGGAGAGAGCGAAACATGCATAATGAGAGAGAATCATGGATCGGCTGCCTCCTGCACGCCCCCCACTGGGGATGGGGCCCACAACCGTGGCCTGTGCCCGGACAGGGAATGGAACCCTGACCTCCAGGTTCATAGGTCGACGCTCAACACTGAGCCACACAGCTGGGCAGGATTCTTGTCAACAGACTTACCTGGACGCGGGGGTGGCCGCAGGGCCTCAGAGGCCCACCGGGAGCCAGGACGGCTGAGGTCTGAGTGGCCTGGTTAACCCCGGGGCTGCGGTCAGCTCTCCTCCCCGAGGCCGAGTTCATGCTGCAGACGCCCCTCGCTGACCCCGGGCCCTCTCTGTGCCAGGCTCTCCATGACCCCCGAGGAGCACCGGGCGTTTTGGCGAAACGTGCAGTTCACGGTGGACAAGGATGTGGTGCGGACAGATCGCAGCAGCCAGTTCTTCCGCGGCGAAGGCAATCCGAACGTGGAGAGCATGAGGTACCCCCTCCAGCCTCGGGGCCGCAGGGCGTGGGCCAGCAGCCGCAGCTCGGGGGGTTCATACAGTCACCCCAGAAGCAGAGGGTCATTAGCTATTTTTTAAAAAAATATTTTTATTGATTTCTGAGAGGAAGGGAGAGGGTGAGAGAGATAGAAACATCCATGATGAGAGAGAGTCATGGATCGGCTGCCTCCTGCACTCCCCACACTGGGGATGGAGCCCGCAACCCAGGCATGTGCCCTGACCAGGAATTGAACTGTGACCTCCTGGTTCATAGGTCAATGCTCAACCACTGAGCCATGCCAGCCGGGCAGGCCATTAGCTATTTAGCCACTTCACTCAGCCTCTGTGGTCACAGTGTCTCAGGGAAGCCCAGAGGTCCCTCCCAAGGGTGCCAGCGAAGCCGCCATGCCCTGGACATCCACCCAGGCCTTGCTGGGCCTTGCTGGGCTCACACACTGTGGCTGAGCCTCCCCGAGTGGCTCCCAATGGCTGGTCCTCTGTGGAAAGCCACACTGAGCCTGGGCGGGCATCTTGAACATTCCACTGCTGCCTGGCACACAATTGCACAAAATTAGTAGCCCGTACAGATGTCCCTGCCGAGCCACCCTATCCACAGGCCGGGGGCCATTAAGGAAATCAGCCCCGCGTTCTTCCTGGCCTCACACTCGGGACCGGCGAGTGGCTGATTGCAGGCCATTCCCTTTCCACGGCTCTGGAGACGGTCCGCAGGCCGCCCGCCTTCCCTTGGGCTTGAGGCGAGGGTCGGGTTCGGGCAGCCGGGTCTCCAGCCCGGGTCCTGTGGGCCTGGACGACAGGCCGCTGTTAGGACGGCGTGGGTGCGGGTGCCGTGGGCACCTCCTGACCGCCCTGCCTCGGCCACGTTGCCAGGAGGATCCTGTTGAACTACGCTGTGTACAACCCGGCCATCGGCTACTCGCAGGGCATGTCGGACCTGGTGGCGCCCCTCCTGGCCGAGGTCCTGGACGAGTCGGACACCTTCTGGTGCTTCGTGGGCCTCATGCAGAACACCATCTTCGTCAGCTCCCCGCGGGACGAGGACATGGAGAGGCAGCTGGTGAGGCTTCGGCATGTGTGGCCGCGTGGGCCATGGCCGCTGGGGTCCGCGGAAAAGCCAGGGTGGGGCCTTGCCGGTGGGGTCGAGGGGACTTGGCTCGGGGCCTCTGGGGAAGGGCACAGGCTGCTCCCAGGCCCCTGGATGCAGCTCCCCCCGCCCCCCACTGGCAGGTGAGAGGCGGGCTGCGCAGGGCCTCCCCTGCTGGCCTCACCTCCCGCACACTGTCCCAGCCCCGCTCCCACCGAGTGAGGAAGGGCCCACCATGCCGGCCTTGGGCTAGAGAAAGCGGGTCCTCAGGTGCATCTGGGCTGCTCCCTGCCGGGGTCCGGCACAGCCGGGGTTCCTGCGTAGGGACTGGGAGGGGGGCTCCTGAGACCGCCCTGAGGCCCACTGGGCAGGGGTGACCGCCCCCCGAAGGGCATCAGGCCTTCCCTGCAGGGCCCAGCCAGCACAGCACGCCTCCCTCCCGGCCACCCGGCCTCCCGGCTCTGCACACACCAGGCAGTGCTCCATGCGGGGAGCGGGGGGCGGGGGGCGGGCAAGGCTGGCCGAGGCACCTGGAGGTTCCAAGCACCTGCCCGGTGTGGGGCTGGGATGTGAGGGGAGGGTGCGGGGTGCTGCGGAGGGGCTGAGGGAGGGGCTACAGATGGACAGGAAGGCTGGTGGAGCAGGCCGACTGCACCGTGCAGGGGCCGGACCGGGCGCTGCCGAGACTGGCTGACCCACGTGTTCCGGGCAGTGACCCTGCGTGGTCCAGTCACGTTGGGCCGCACGTGTCGTGTGCAGAGAGGCCTCCAATGCCACGGCCAAGAGCACGCCCTTAGAGTCACCGTTAGGACGGCAGAGGGCTGAGGAGAGGCCCCCCGAGCAGGGAGGTGTGAACTGGGCGGTGAGGGGCACCTGGCAGGGGGCAGGGGCAGGGGGCGTGCTCGAGGGAGGGGGCAGCCACAGGGTGGGCTTGGCCCCGCTGCTGTGGCCACGGGATGGAGAATGGCCGGTGGGGAGTCAGTGCTGCAGGGCCGTGGGCCGGTCCTGCTCGAGCGGGAACAAAGGGCTGCTTGTGTGGGAAGGGCCATGAGCCAGTGGGCCCCAAACCAGCCCCTCCCCGCCCCCCCCCCCCTCGCGCTGATCCCGGGCCTGTGATCCCACCGGCCGCTCCGCTCCCACCTCCACATGATGTCAGGTTTCCACGGCACCGGGGGAGGCCGTGACCGGGTCTGACGCTCCGAAGCCCGGCCCGCGAAGTGTTCGCTGCTGGGGAGGCCATGACCGGGTCTGACGCGAAACGTTCGCTGCTGGGAGGCAGCGGCGAGGCGGGCGCGGCCACAAATAGCCTGGCTCCTGCCCCGCGTCACCGGGTGGGACCTTAAGGTCGGAATTGAGCGTCCCGGGTTCAGAGCCATCCTCTCCGGTTCTGTCAGCTCCAGACAATGATGGGGCTTCGAGATCTAAGGGGAGGCGGTTGGACCCGGGGGTCCCAGGAAGGAGGGGGTGTCAGAGCTGCTCCCACTTGGCGGCTGAGGCCGGCACTGAGCTGCCCTTGGCCTCCCGCCCACCACAGGGCACCGCATCCGCCTGCCCTGGGCTGCACCCCGGGCTCGGAACGGCCTCAGATCCGCAAGAAACGGGCCCAGCGGGGGTCGGCCCAGCAGGTGCCGACACAAAGCACAGGGCGCCTCATCGCATGCCTGTCCCTGGTGGGTGGCTGTCTGTCCCGGGTGGGTGGCCGCCTGTCCCGGGTAGGGGGCCGTCTGTCCCGGGTGGGTGGCCGTCTGTCCCGGGTGGGGGGCCGTCTGTCCCGGGTGGGGGGCTGTCTGTCCCGGGTGGGTGGCCGCCTGTCCCGGGTAGGGGGCCGTCTGTCCCGGGTGGGTGGCCGCCTGTCCCGGGTAGGGGGCCGTCTGTCCCGGGTGGGTGGCCGTCTGTCCCGGGTGGGTGGCCGTCTGTCCCGGGTGGGGGGCCGGAGAAGGGCCGGCCCGGCTGACCGAGCTGCCTCACAGCTGTACCTGCGGGAGCTGCTGCGGCTGACGCACCTGCGCTTCTACCAGCACCTGGCGTCGCTGGGCGAGGACGGGCTGCAGCTGCTCTTCTGCCACCGCTGGCTGCTGCTGTGCTTCAAGCGCGAGTTCCCCGAGGCCGAGGCGCTGCGCATCTGGGAGGCCTGCTGGGCCCACTACCAGGTGAGCGGGCGGGGGGACGGGGAGGGCCGGCAGGACACATCCCGGAGCCACAGTCCCCACCCTGTACCCTGCCTTCCAGGAGGCCAGGGTGCCGCGTAACCATGCATCTCCTCTGGGGCCCCTCCTCTGGAGCCCTGGCCGCCCGCTAGCCCCAGGTCAGCGCCTCACACTGCCCGCCTTCCGTCCCACGTGGCCGGCTCCAGACCCGCACTTCGCCTCCCAAGGAACTGAAATCGATGCAAATTGCCCACTGACGCGCTCACTGCCCCCTTCTGGGGCTGAGCTGCCCCTGTCACAACCAATCAGCATGAAGGACATTTCCAGGGCCAGGCAGGGCCCAGGACACCATGGACCCACACGAGGAGCCAGTGCCCGCCCACCTCCTCCCCTCCGGTGGCTCAGGGCACAGGCCGAGACCCCACCTCCCCCGAGAGCGCAGGCCCAGCCCGCTGTCCCCTCCTGATCACGTCGATTTCCACCTGCTGTCCGCCATGATCAGCGTCTCCCGGGCGCGGGCCTGTCACAGGGCTCTAACCCCGCGTGCGCGACAGCTGGCGAAGCTGAAGGACGGGCGAGCCTCTGTGAATCCGTCGGCCTTTAAGAAACCAGGATGGACGCCTCGGGAGGCCGCCAGGACGCTTAGCAAGACCCTCTCACTGGGCAGCCAAGCAGCCTCCATTCCACAGACCGTGCAGGTGGGCGGAGCACCCACCAACCCCGCGTGACGGGGAAATGCCGCCCGTGGGGACAAGCGCTGGCGCGGACGCCTGAGCTCTGCGGCACGCCCCTGTGACCGAGTCTGCTTTCGAGGCTCACGGCCTCTCTCCAGCAGCCACATGGCCACCCTTGGTGCATCGCGTCCGGCCGATGCTGCCAGTGATACCTGGGCACCGCCTGGCGGGGGCGTTTCTCCCGCGACTCCGTTCCTGCCATCCGGTCAGAATCCCGGGCGCCCGTGCGGAAGTCTGCCTGGGCTCCGCCTCCACAGATCCAGCTCCCGCACTTTCAAGCTTCCAGCTCAGCCTCGCCCCACTTGGCTCCCCTCCTTGGCGGGGTGTGTGTGTGTGTGTGTGTGTGTGTGTGGGTGAGGACAGTGGGGGTACGCTGATTCATCAGTAGTGACCTTGGGGTGGGGTGTCTGTAATTTTTAAAAAACATGTTTTTAATGATTTGAGAGAGAGAGGGAGGGAGAGGGAGTGATAGAGAGAAACATCGACCCGGTGCCTCCTGCACGTGCCGACTGGGGATCGGACGCAAAGCCCGGAATGTGCCCTGACTGGGCATCGAGCGGGTGACCTTTCCGTGCCCGGACGACGCTCGACCAACGGAGCCCCCCGCAGGGCCCTTTCCCTTTGACGGGCTGATTCTAGCCACTTGCTATTGGTTCGCCTGCGGGGCTGTGTCCTGGGAACTGGAATTAGCCCTGTGCTGCCGGCCGCCCCATTCAGGGCACGTGGCACCCTTTCCTCCCCACCGGCCTCCTGGGAGGAGGAAGCCCACCTTCCTGGAACCTTCTGCCGTCTTCCCACCCCGGCCACAGGTCAGACAGCCGGGCAGGGTCCTCGGAGCCCAAACGAGGCCATCCGGGCCGTTCTGGGGAGGGGGCGCGGTCCTGGCCCAGCAGCTGGGAGGCGGCCTCCCCTGGGCACGTGGGCCTGGGCGTGGGCTGGAGCGTCTGCCCGCACTGTGGGCTCCCGGCCGGCACCGGGAGACTAAACACGGCTTCCCGGGATGCCTTGTCCTTCCTCTGCTCCCGGAAGCGCGTCCGGACAGGAGAGCGAGCAGGACGCTCCAAGGTCAGGACTGAGCGCTTCCTGCCTGCGGCCGGCGCTGCCCCTCCCTGGGGACCCGCAGGGGCTGCGTCAGGGTCTCCTTCCCGCGTTCTCAGCCCCAAACCTAAGCGTCGCCTCTGGGGCAGGAGCTGGCGTTCTGGGAGGCAGGAGGCACTGGCTGGCGGGGTCGTGGCCACAGGTCCTTTCTCCCTGGCGTGTCCCTGAGCCGCTGGCGGTGTTCTCACCCAGCCGTTCACGCCCACCGCGTCTCAACACTCACCAGCGGGCCTTTGGAGGAGCGCAGCCCAGCCTTCAGGTGCCGTGCGCTCCTGGCCCCCCAGACAGACAGGCCTTCCCAGGAGGCGCTCAGCCAGTGTCCCCGCTCGGGGGTCACACAGCCGTGGGTGCTGATCGTGGCAGGTACTGACCGGCCCTGGCAGGCGGGGAAACACGACCAAGGCCGCTATGGGCTTGCCCGCGGCCACGGACCCCACGGTCAGCCTCACCTGCAGCTCAGCGCCCCGCCGCCCCCTCCAGCAGCGCCGGGGCTGGGTCAGGGCCTCTCTGAGCCCCACTCTCCACCCCACAGACGGATTACTTCCACCTCTTCATCTGCGTGGCCATCGTGGCCATCTACGGGGACGACGTCATAGAGCAGCAGCTGGCTACCGACCAGATGCTCCTGCACTTTGGAAACTTGGCCATGCACATGAACGGGGAGCTGGTCCTCCGGAAGGTGAGCCCCGCCCCCACGTGCAGAGCGCCTTCTCGCTCTCTCTCTCTCACTCTCTCTCTCTCTCACACACACACACACACACACACACACACACACACACACACAGCCCCGCCCCCACACGGAGCTCCTCCCCCACACTTCCAGAGCCCCGCCCACACATGCAGAGCCCCTCCCCCACACTTGCATAGCTCGGGCTGCATGCAGAGCCCCCACCTCCCCTCGTGGGCCTGGAGCCCCCCACCTACCCAGTGGTTAGCACCTGTGGCCACGGCCTGAGTTGGCTGCTGGCTCTTCAGGCTCCATCGCCCATGACCCTCCCTCTCCACTCGGACTGAACAAATGACCAGGTTATTAGGCTCCCACCTTGGGCCCCTCATCACAGCCCAGAGTCAGAGCCACAGGAGGCCTGTGTGTGTGTGTGTCGGGGGGTGCTTCTCATCCGGCATTAGGGGAATAGGGGGGCGGGGTCAGCGTCAGGTGGTGGGAGCAGACCCTGCAGGGGGGGCCGGGAGGTGGGGTGGGCAGAGCAGAGCGCCTGAGCACCTGTGGGGCCTGGGGCCAAGGGAGAGGGTCCTAGGGAACCGGCAGGGCCCTGTGCCGCCCTGGCCACCCTTCTGGGGAAAGCCGTTTGGGGCGAGAGCCACGCGTGAGGACGGGGCTGGGAACCCTGCAGGTCCTGCACTGGCTGGACCAGGGCCCCTGCCTGCTGGGTGGGTGGGACACTGGCCGGGCATCGGCCCGAGCCTGGCACGCAGTCAGCCCGCAGGCGCAGGCCGTGCTGCTGGCGCTCCTTGGCCTCCCGTCCCCCGGCCCCTCACTGCCGCCCTCTCTGCAGGCGAGGAGTCTGCTGTACCAGTTCCGCCTCCGGCCCCGGATCCCCTGCAGCCTGCACGACCTGTGCAAGCTGTGCGGCAGCGGCATGTGGGACAGCGGGTACATGCCCGCCGTGGAGTGCACGGGCCACCACCCGGGGGCAGAGAGCTGCCCCTATGGGGGCACGGGCTAGCCAGCCGCCTTCGCCCACACCCCCCCCCCGAGGAAGCAAGAAGGTGCCCACGAAGGCTCTGGCTTCCGCAGATCGGCCGGGTTCCCCACGCTGGACGGCCCCGGGCATGTGGGGGGGTGGGGATGGGCAGGGACAGGGCAGGGCAGGGGGTGGTCACAACGAAAGGAAGATGCCTTTGGGCGACACGAAGGGGACATTTTCATATTAATAGGAAATCAGAGTCTGGGAGGGAGAGAAGGAAGCCCCGTCGCTTCCCTCTGACACCCTCAGCCAGGCCCGGATCCCTTCAGCGGGGGCAGGAGGAGGGAGAAGGTCTAGTTCAGCCACCAGCTCCTGGGATGTGCAGCAGAAGGGGGGCCCATCGAGGCCCAGGGACATCTTTGCAAGCTGGACACGCCTCCTTATCCGGCCTAGTTCTCACAGCCTCTCTGGCCACAGCTCCAAAGACATCTGCCCCCCAAAAAGAAAAAGTCGCCCCCCTGATTTCGGGGTGGAGGGGGGTTGGGAAGCTGGGGCTCGGACACTTCACATTGTGCCTCCTGGTTTGTGAAGGACGCTGCCTGCCCATGAGCCGGAGTGCCTGAGAGACAAGCTCGTATGTTAACTTCCAGCCAGGCAAAGGCACCGCAAAGCAGCCAGCGCTCAGGGCTCCCCTGCTTCCTGGGGGAGCAGGTCTCCCCAGGACCCCTCCCTCTTTAGGGTTTTATACCAGTTGCTCCTGGGGATTTCGAGGCGGACAGACCGGGGCAGGGAGGGCTCCCCCAGCCATTGGCACCAAAAGCCACTCGGACAGGCGGCAGCAAGGACGCGGGATCCTGCTCGGCCCGGGGCGACGCCCCTGAGAGCCGCTGCCCACGGCCTCTCCCTGGGCGGCGCTGGCCGCTGCCGTCCATTTTAAACATGTAGGAAGGTGTTTAGCACCCTGGTCAGTGGGCTCAGTGGTTAGAGCTCGGCCCGCAGACTGAAGGGTTTCGGGTTTGATTCTGGACAAGGGCGCGCGCGTACCTGGGTTCAGGCTCCATCCGCAGCCCCCGTCAGGACACGTGCAGGAGCCAACCCATCCATGTCTCTCTCACATCGATGCTTCTCTCTGTCTCTCCCCCTCCCTCCACTCTCTCTAAAAAAAGATCAATGGAAAAAATACCCTCGAGTGAGGATTAACAAAAACAGTCTTAGATGTTTATCAACAGGAAAGAGGAAGTTAGCAGCCTCCTCCGCCCCATTGCCGACTGAGACTGTCCACCCCGTCCTGGGCCCTCTGTCCAAGAGCCTCGGGACACGCTCCTGGAGCCCATCCTCGCTCAGATCTTGGGGTGCTGACCGAGACAGCCCAGCGGCCGGGCCCAGCTGGGGGGCGGGGGGGGGCTTCTCACCCACTTGGCTCTGGGAAGACAGGGCTGCTCTCTGCGGGGATGGGCTCGGGCTAGCCCGGCGCTGTGCAGTCTCTGGGGCCGGTCCCCGTGAACAGGCGTGTCAGTCACTGTCGCCACGGTGACCTCATAGCACCCGGAGCCTCCGTGGCCTCGAGAACCTGAGGGTCAGCGCTTGCTGGGCTCGCGCCTGTGTCTGGGGCCAACCTGCTGTTAAGTCCCGGGGGAGTGCCCGCCGGTGTGGGGGTCGGACGGGCGCTGCCCGGGTCGCCCATCTCCCTGCAGGCGAGCCCGGCCGAGGCCCAGGTCAGAGGCAGGGATGCTCAGACACGGTCCCGCCTCAGTGGTGTCACTCCTGCCACATCCTGTGTTCAAAGCAAATCCCGGCTCTCAGCCCGCACCCCCCCCCCTTCCCCCGGTGGCAAGGGACCGCTGCCTCCGCGGTGAGAGGAGCAGCCGGGTGGCCTGGGGGCTGGCGACGGGGAAGGCGAGGACTGGGCGGCGGTACTCTCCCCTCAACCAGGAAGTCTTGGTCCAAATAGAGGGTCTGGGACACGCCATTCCGGCAAGAATCGGGCACCGCTGTGCCGTACCTTGTGCCTTTGGGCTGCTGGGGTGCTGCCCAGGGATCCCCTCATTGGGAGGCCCTGGTGCGAAACGTTAATCCCGAATCTCCCTCAGCCCCACAGCCCCCCAAGGCCCCGTGCCCATGGCACACTGGCCCTTGGCGCTTCCACCTCCCACCCCTGCGGCCACCTCTCCAGCGGCCGGGGAGGGCACCCGCTCCAGGGTGGAGAAGGCCGGGCTCACCAGGGTCCCTTCATGGGGATGCAATCAGAGGCAAGCGGCCTGAGGCAGCTGTGGAGGGTCGGAGGGTCGGAGGGTCGGTGGCAGTTCCCTCATTAGGCTCCCGCCGCCCGCCCACCGCCCACCGCCCTCCGCCAGGACCAGGGCCAGCGAGCGAGCGGCTGGACCAGCTGCCCGGTGCTCCAGGTGCAGCTCATTCATCGCACTTGTTAAAATGTCACGTCATGTGATTGGCGGGTGCGCGCATCCCCAAGGGCCCCCACGCTGGTGTCCGTGCCGCCGTTCCCGGGTGGCGTCGGGCACGTGCTGGCTCGGAGGGGCGCCCGGTGGGGCTCAGCCTGGGACACAGTGGTCGGGCTGGGCCTGTGATCCGGGCCGGAACCAGGAACCTGTGTGCTCACCGGAGGCTGCAGGCCTGAGTCCGGCAGGAAGACTTGGAGCTCACATCACCGGAGTGGGTGTCCCTGAGCCCATGCGGGGGGCGGGGCCGGGTCCACGGGCAGCGCGGACAGGATTTTGTTGCTTAAGGGAAAGTGTCACGCGATGCCCAGCGCTACCAAGAGGCCGCTGGTGTCCCTGGAGAGCGATTCCTTCTCTGTATTTTGTTTTGTTTTCAAACATGATTCCCCGCTGGTCAGGCCCTGCCCAGGCCGGGCTGGTCCTGTGACCGTGTCCATGACCAGGGCAGCCCCGCGACGCTTCCGGCTCATGATTCCACCGCCAAGTAAATAAAAGTATTGACGACAAGTACGAGTTCTCGGGCGCCTCCGAGGGACGGTCTGGCCAGTTTGTTGGGTCAAAAACACAGCAGGTTCCAGCGCTGGGCAAAGAGGACCCCGTGAGGATCCGGGATGGGGGAGGGGAGGAAGTGCAAGGAGCTGGGGGGCAGGCTCCTCCTGGAAGGCGGGCCACAGCCTGGCCCCGGCCCCGCCCGAGGCCGGCTGGTTCCCTGGGCGCAGCTAAGTCAGGATGTTCCTTGGTTCTCGGTCAACAACAACCAGCAGCTCAGCCATCGGAGAGCAGGCGGCAGGGCCGCCGGAAAGGCCTACCCGCTGTCCTGGGGGCGAGGCCTGTGGCGTGAAGATGGCCAGCTGCACCCCATAGTCTGGGGCTCCACAGGGATGTTCTCGGGCCTCGTTCGTGTCTAAGAGCGAGTCCCGGGCACAGCCGGGCGCCCCGTCCTCGCTCCTGCACTCATCCAGCAGCGGCCGCGGGCGGCAGGGAGGCTGGTGCAGGGACGAGGACAAGCACCCGGGTCCCGGGGCAGGCGCCACAAATGTCCCCTTTTCTGTCAGTCCAGTGGGTCCCGTTAGGAGCCCATCACCCCGGCTCAGTCTCACCCACTATCGGGGGGAAGGGGCCCAGCCTGGCCCGCTGCAGCCACTGAGACACCCTGCCCAGCCCCACGGGCCCGGGAGGCCTGGGTCTGGTCCTTGGCTGGGGCACTGGCCCCTGGCACACGGCATCCCTGCCACATCCTGTCCCTGTGAGGGGGCCTGCAGACAGGGCTCCCCACATGGGTACACACTCACATACTCTCATACACACACATTCACACACACACACACACACACACACACACACACACACACGGAAGGCCTCCGGCCAGCCGGCTCCTCCCTGGCCTTGGGAGCCGGGCTCAGAGCGGAATGCATCTGCCGGCCGCAGGCCCCGCCACCCTGGCATTAGCCTCCGGAACAGAAAGGGCCAGGGCTCGGCGAGGCCAGGGAAGCACTTGGGCGAAAACTCCAGTGAGAACAGTTGTTGGGCCACGAGGGTGACCTCACGGTGAAGGGGCTGGGAGCGGCCCTGTGTCCTCATGCCCGCCACCTCCTCAAGGAGCAGGAGGGGCCACACCTGCCGGCCACTCTCACGCCCTCTGCCGACAGGACACCTGCCGGCGGCCTCGGGGGGGGGGGGGGCCCTCCCTCCCCGCCTCTGCGTGTCCGCCCTCCCTCCCCGTACCCCCTCCCTCCCCGCCTCTGCGTGTCCGCCCTCCCTCCCCGCCTCTGCGTGTCCGCCCTCCCTCCCCGCCTCTGCGTGTCCCCCCTCCCTCCCCGCCTCTGCGTGTCCCGAGAGGAGCCGGCTCTCCAGGCTCCCTGGGCCGGGCGCGTGCTGTGCCATCAGACAGCGTGGTTGGCGCGTGTGCCACTCAGCCCCCAGGATGGGTTGGGTGCCACGGCTCTCCCACCAGCAGTTTGAACCAAAGAGGCCACTTGAGATTCTGAGTCACGAGAGAGGACGGCTGGATTCTCTACACCATGTTTGGTGCTGCAGTGAGGGTGCAGAGGGCCTAGTGCCAAGGCCGGGAGGAGGGGGCAGAGTAGGTTCAAAACCCCGGCAACCGGCGAGAGACACGTGCAGTTCGACACATGCGAAGGCGTCCCCAAGGACCTGCGCACAGCTTACCGATAAAGTCCATTGATTCCTGGGTGTGAATAAACACCAAAGAAAAAGGCACCGAGGGCCCTAGTGGCTACAGGCAATGAGGAGGGAGCACCAGGGCCTGGCAGTTGTAAATCTCACGTGGAATACCAGCCCTGGGTGGAAGGTCAGAGCTTGGCATGGGGCTCACTGGAGACGGTGGCCGGGGTCTGCGGGAGCCCAGCCCCAGGGGGCGGGCAGAGGACCCGAGAGGGACACCCACAGTGACTAAAAGACAGGACAGCCGACCGGTGTGGCTCAGCAATTGAGCATCAACCTGGTTCACCTGCGGGAACCAGGAGGTGACAGTTTGATTCCTGGACAGGGCACATGCTCTGGTTTCGGACTTGGTCCCCAGTAGGGGGCGTGCAGGAGGCAGCTGATCCCTGATTCTCTGTCATCCTTGATGCTTCTCTCCCTTCCTCTCTGAAATCAATAAAAATCGATTAAATAAACCAAGGCCTGAAGGGTAGTAAATGTTGCCAAGGGGCTGTGCATCAGCGAAGAGCGTGCCAACTAGCTGTTCCCAGAGGCACTCAAGGGGCTGGGCACCCCCGGCCTGTCCACTCCACCTGCTGGAACACTGGACCAGCGGTTCTCAACCTGTGGGTCGCGACCCCTTTGGCGGTCGAACGACCTTTCACAGGGGTCGCCTAAGACCATCGGAAAACACATATATAATTACATATTGTTTTTGTGACTAATCACTGTGCTTTCATTATGTTGCATTTGTAACAATGACATTGGGGGTCACCACAACATGAGGAGCTGTATTAAAGGGTCGCGGCATTAGGAAGGTTGAGAACCACTGATCTAGACTCTTGTGCGGAACTCCTAGCCCCACTCCCTTTGTGGGGAGCAGCTATCTGTCCCCCGGGCCCCCCCTCTGTCCAAGGCATCGAGATGGGGGCTCCGGCTTTCCGTCTTGGCTCCCCGGGAACCCTGCTTTCTGATATGGGGCCCGGTCTCCTGTGAAAGGAAATCCAGGGCAGCTGGAAACAGCCCAGCGGGAGCCTGGGGCGGTGGGGGTGGCAGGCGGCTCACAGGCCGTTCCCTCCTGCCCTTTGGGCAGCTTCAGAGGAAAGTGCCGGGACCCTGAGGCCTCCGGGCAGGTGCCCTCGGGGGACCCCACCCACTGCCTAACCCGCAGTGCCCGGTCCACTTCCAGGAACGGCCGCCTTTCTCCAGAGCCCAGCACCCTCTTGGCTTCTGGTAAATTCTCAGGTTCTGCCCAAGGGTTAATTTAGGTGGGAATTCCCCCAGGTCCTGGTCTCACTGCTCGGCTGGGCCACGTGACCGTCTGAGCCGGGCAGATACAGAGAAGTGAGTGTTTAGGACGAAACAGCCTGGCGAGGACATGGGGGGTGTGGGTGCACAGGGCGCAGGGGCGAGGCTGCCTCGGGGGTGTAGGGGTGTGGGTGCACAGGGCACAGGGGTGAGACTGCCTCAGGGGGGTGGGAGGTGTGGGTACACAGGGCACAGGGACGAGGCTGCCTGGGGGGGGGGGGGAGGTGTAGGTGCACAGGGCGCAGGGGTGAGGCTGCCTGGGGGCGGGTGGCGAGTTGCTTTGAGGGAGGATGAGACAGATTGGGCCTGGATTGGACACCTCTCGCTATTGGTGGGGGCGGCCCCGGGGGCGGGAGGGGGGGGGAGACCGGGAGCTGACCCAGGGAGGGAGGCAGGAAGAGGCACTGCTCGCCCAGGTGTTTAATCAGGTGCCCGCAGGGGGGCAGTGCGGCCAGGCTGGGAGCTGGCCCCCCACTTCCATCCCTCCTTGTATACCCCGCCCCCGGCCCAGGACTCTGCAGACTCGTGCAGAGGGGCCTCCCCGTCCCTTCCCCTCGGCCCTCCGGCTGAGAGCAGCCTCGGGGGCAGCCCCGAAATGGGCCCAGAGTCAAAACTGCAGCTCCGGTTCCCCCGCCTGACCCAGCCTTCGGGGCCCCTGCACGCACCCCCCCATCCGGGGCCTGACTCCGGCCCAGAGACCAGGTCGGCTGGCAGAGGGGGCTGCTGGGCCCAGAGGGGACCCGCCCTGAGGAAGTAACCGGGGTGGTTCTGGGCCCCTGTGGCTTCCGGCCCAGCACGGAGGGGGCTTGAGGCGGTCGAATCCCAGGCGGGAGCAGGGCCTTTTCCTTTCTGGAAAGCAAGTTCCCAAGCCTGGATGGGGGCCTGTCTGGTGCGCCCTGGCCCCCGGCCTCGGCCTCGGGACGCCGGGCAGCTTGGCGGGAGCTGGAGCAGGTGCCCAGTGCCCCCACTCCTGTCTCCAGCTGCCTGACCCATCCGACCAGGCCCGCCTGTGGGGTGCAGCTGCTGGTCGAGTTTCTGCAAAGCCAGGCTTCTCACCAGGAACTGGCCTCCGGGAGGGAGGGAGGCTGGCGGCGTCCACGCAGAAGGAGGCCACCCGTGTCCTCAGAAAGCCTCCTGGCTACCTCCCACCTGAGCGGGCGAGGGCACCACACTCGGATTCTCCTGCTTCTGCTCGGGCCTCTGTGGCTGCTTCTTCTGCTTTCACGCCCGTGGGCTTGGTCTTGGGCGGGAGTCGGCTCACACCTGCACACTCCTGGGAGCCACGGAGTATGTGGGGGGCAGGGAGGAGCACCCACAGACAGGGACACACGGGACCAGAGTGGGGCTGGGGCCTGGACAGGACTGGGGGGCTTCCAGAGCAGGGGAACGGGGGAGAATGGGGGGCCGGGGAAAAGGGGGGGAGAGGTGGGGGAGGGGAGGCGAGGGGGAAGAGGGCGGCCCCTCGGTGGGCCCACCATCCAATCAGATCAGGCGCATCCAGATAAATGTGAATAATCGGGCGGCAGAGGGATTGGGATGATCTAATTAAAAGGACGGTGCGAGCTGGCAGCTCTGCCAGGAACCGCTCGGGTGAGACCAGGGGCCGGGAGAGGAAGCAGGGAGCCCTGAGCCGCCTGAAGGGGGGCCGCCTGGCCCCCAGCGGCCCTGCCCTCCGAGCCCCCCACCCCTCCGGCCTGTCAGCAACCCCAGCCGCCGGCCACCTACCGGGCCAGGCCCCGCGCCTGGGAGCAGCCCTCGCTGGGTGGGGGGACGCCTCACCCGGGCCCAGCCCGCGGCCAGCGCGGCGACATCTGTCTGCCTGGCGGGTCCCTGTCCCTGTCGAGGCTCTCGGGGCTCATTTTCTCTTGAATCAAGATCGATGTGGGTCCCGTGGGAGTTGATGGAGCCCTTCGGCCTTTGCCGACTTGGCTTGGTCCAGCGGAGCGGGAGGCGCGGGGCCAGGCAGCGGGAGGCCGGTTCAGCGGGGGCCAGGACCAGAGGAGCCCTGAGCAGAGGAGGGACCCCTGGCTCCCCCG